ACTGATTGGCATTGACCTGGTGACCTTGTGTGGGCGCCTGTCTGTAGAGAATGCTAATGATCAGCTCGTGCGTGTCATAATTGGGCCGGTCCAGCCCATGCAGATAGTTGCCCATCGGTGTCAGTAGCATCAGCAGCTGTGCCGCCTCCTGGCCAGCCTACATGTGTACAAGTGTATGAGGATCAGCTGACCGACGGTATGACCCCTAGTTCTGACAAAGAAGTTCTCCAGCCAGTCGCCGATGACTCGCCAATGTCTGCAGCTCCGACGCGCCCGCCTTCGAAACTGTCGCATCATGTCCATGTACAGACTCACGGCAACGATGTCATCCTGAAGGTTGATGACGGCGAGATGCGTTGGATGTCGGCTGAGAAGCGTTGGGAGGTCAAGTGGGTGTGGAAGTCTGGTGAAGAACCCAATGGCCGTGTTGGTCCTGGTATCAGCGAGTACCCTCGGTAGAAAATTACCGCGGCAGAGGAGACGCAATTCTGCTCTCCTTTAGATGAGTGGATTGAGCGAGGCTGGCTGGTGAAGCACGACGCTGACACCCATGGTCGCCCTGCCTGTGTCTTGCCATTGATGGCGGTGAGTCAGCCGCACAAGACGCCTACGCCTGTGCGTCCGGTGTTAGATTATCGCCACCTGTATAAGCTGTTGGTGTCCCACCCTGGCACTAAGTCGCCTGTGTGCGCCGAAACGTTGCGCCAGTGGAGGCTCAAGGGTGAAGCTGACGAATTTGAGTTAGTGGACATTACATAGGCGCACTTGCAAATCCACGTCAGCCCGGAATTGCTACGGTTCCAAGTTGTCGAGTGACGTTGTGTTCGCTACGTGATGACGCGCATGGCGTTTGGCCTGAGTGTGGCGCCGAAGTTCATAGCCACCATCATCAAGTACGCTATCGGCAGCTTGCCGGATACAGATAACTATGTCGACGACATCATTGTTCCCAAGAGTCAACGGACTGCGTTGACAGAACAGCTCGCTAGCTGCAGCCTGCCAACTAAGCCTGCTATGGAGATGTCGGCTGCACGGGTTCTAGGACTGCAGCTCAACGAGTCTGATGATGGTCGAGTGCGCTGGTCCCAGCGTGATGAGTCGCATGTCGCATTTGCTGATGTCACGAGGAAACGTGAGCTCTACAAGTGGTGTGGCCAGTTGACGAGCCACTACCCTGTTGCTTCATGGCTTCGTCCTCATTGTAGTTGGCTGAAGCGTCAATGGACGACATGGTCGCCATTTTGTGCATGTCCTTTTTCCTGATGGATCTTGGATCTCGTGGAAAAAGAACAGTTTCTTTTCTCCCAACTTTACTACTATTTCAATATTTCAACTCTCTTGATTCCTTGTTGATAGTTGTGGCTCAGTGCATGTGCGAGTGTGCTGGAGTGCTAGCTGGAAGAGATAGAGAGCAGAGTAGTGGAGTAACACTAGCCAAGGTCCACACAGCTTTAATTTGGTATTTGTTTGTTTGTGTCACGCCTGGCGCTATCCTGTATCTGTCCCGTACCGTACCATACCATCAAACACAGCTGGCCACATACAGCTGGCCGCAATATTCAAATAGGGCTTTCAAACGCAAGATCATAACGTGAAGCAACTTGGAAGAATGAGTATGAATGCGAAGTGTATGCGGGAATGCATGTAAGGCGATAGTGCGGGTTCGAATCCCAGGTTATGCCTGAAAAAATGGAGAATATTTTTGCCTTGGTCATCAAAGCGGTAGACGGTGTCGTATTACCCTGGACCGTACCTGTCCCGTAACTGTCCCGTACCGTACCGTACCGTACCATCAAAGACAGCTGGCCACAATACATATTCAAATAGGGCTTTCAAATGCAAGATCATAACGTGAAGCAACTTGGAAAAATTAGTATGTATGCGAAGTGTATCGGGGGATGCATGCAGGACTATAGTGCGGGTTCGAATCCCAGGTTATGTCTTTTTTTTTAAAGGGGAAGTGAAGGCAAAAATTAAAATTTCACCAGTTGTAGTCTTCGGGGTGCTGAGTCGAATGGTCGTGGTCCGAGGAAGCTGAGACGCTCCCTTCCTACTTGAATCCCAATCGAACTCGCGCACTTCCACCGAAACTGGGTGACTGCGCCCTACTAGATGGGGATTTGTATGCAAAATGTCACTAAAAGCGCCATTTCGTTCTTATAAAAGCACGGATGACCGCGATTGGCCCATATGTTGTAGTCTTTTGGACGCTGAGTCGACTGGTTTTGGTCCGAAAAGGCTGCAATGCAGCGTTCCTCCTTTATTCCCAATCGAACATGGTTGAAGAAGTGGTCCCGTGCTGCTGCGTACGCCAGTCACCTGGTCACCGTGCCTGCGGGTTACAACTTACTTTTTTTTTTTTTTTTTTTCGATAGTGAGGAAAATGTTATCAACTCCAAAGCACGAAAAAGGCCAAAAACTAAACCAAGAACATATGCAATATTAAACATGTTATTTATAAAGACAGGACAAGTGAATAATTAGTCAACTTACTAGCCTGTTTGACCTTGTTTGGGTGCGGTCCTGTCACTCGAGTTGAACCTTGGTGTGAAAGTTGTCGCCTGCTGGCGTGGTGACCAGGTGATTTGGGCACCCAGAAGCACGTGACCGCTTGTTCAACCATGTTCGATTGGGAATAAAGGCGGAACGCTGCATCGCAGCCTTTTCGGACCAAAACCAGTCGACTCAGCGTCCAAAAGACTACAACATATGGGCCAATCGCGGTCATCCATGCTTTTATAAGAACGAAATGGCGCTTTTAGTGACATTTTGCATACAAATCCCCATCTAGTAGGGCGCAGTCACCCAGTTTCGGTGGAAGTGCGCGAGTTCGATTGGGATTCAAGTAGGAAGGGAGCGTCTCAGCTTCCTCGGACCACGACCATTCGACTCAGCACCCCGAAGACTACAACTGGTGAAATTTTAATTTTTGCCTTAACTTCCCCTTTAAGGAGAAATTTATAAGAATTTATAACATCCCTATGCTTTTTTTGTCTAGGTCATCAAGGAAAAAAAGCATAGCGTAAGGCCCTGAGCTTCCAAGCTCTCTCGTTAAAAAAACCTTATTTATAGTGGCAAATAAATCGGTCATAACAATTGTCCCTCTGAAAAGTACGTGCAGATAAGAATCCATAATTGCTTTTCTTTTTTTAATATGTTCACATCCCCAGGTCGAAAATACTAAAGAAAGACACTGGTACTGAGATTAGGACAAAACGTGACAGCTACTGAGTATGGGCTGCACCGAGATGCAGCAGTGATGATGGGGCATTGATTGCTCTGCCGACCTGAGGTCTCGGCATCACGGCCATAAACACGCACCAAAAACAAAAGATAGAACTGTAAGAGTCAGCGAAGTGAAAAGAAAGGAAGGGTTAACACCAGCGAGTGTGCGGGAGAAACTGTAATGCTATGAACAATTGCAGAGGTTCTGACTGAGAGGAGCATCATCGTGGCTGATCATGATGACTTGGTTGTCGGAGCCAGTTGTGGTGCGTAAATAGGGATAGACGAGAGCAGCATCATAGCGGTTCGACTTCCCAGAGCCAATTTGTGCTTCACAGATGATAATATACTTTCGTTTTAAATGTTTACACTCCCTCGCTGTGGGTGGTCATGGCCAATGACACTACCGTGCTTGCTGCTCGCTGCGAGTTATGGGGCTGGATGAGGGGAAATGACGCAGTGGCAAAACAGAGAGTAGCTGCGGAGGGCCGGACAAGTAATGCAGCTCCTACAGGCAGGCATGCAGGACACAAAAATTCGCGAAGCGCAACATTGGATATGATCCAGGCGTTGCAGGTAGCTGGGCGGAGCACCTATCCAGATGTGGGGGGGGGGGGGGACACACTCCATAACAGGTCGAACCAATGCCTTGTATACTGTGGTACAGTCGGCTGGAAAGAGAATGTGAGCTGCACTGCACAGGAAGGCCAGTCCTTGCTTTGCTGGAGCGGCAACCTTCCGGAGACGAGTGCTGACTGCTGAGTGACATATTCGAGTCAAAGGTCACTCCAAGTAAAGAGAGAGCCTTCTCCTCAGGGACAAGTGTTCCGCCAAATACAATGCGAGACAAATTGTTAGGGGTTCTGCGAAGAGTGGTGGTCATGGATTGGGACTTTGACGGTTCGAAGGAGATGCGCCATCTGCGGCCACACCGATGCAAGCAATCAACAGAAGTCTGGAGGTTCAATGCAGCGTCGGCTGGGGATGTCAGATTTCAGGCTATGCAAGGTTGTATCATCAGCGCACGCCTCCAGGTGGGCTCCCTGTGAGAGGGCTTCTGAGGCGTCGTTCACGTACATCAGGAAGAGTGTAGTCCCAAGTATGATCCCTTGGGGAACTCCTGCTTATATGGTGTACAGGGATGATGCTTGGCCACCCAACAAGCATTGAAGGGACTGCCCATCTACGTAGGAAAAGAGCCAGGAATGCAGGGGGCCGCCAGTACCAAGATGCCGGCCTTTATGGAGAAGGCCAGCATGGGACACACGCAATATCCACAGCTAGAATATGTGCTGCACTGCCTGGGCTGACTGCCGTGATCCAGGAATGGTGTAGAGCTCGTAGCGCATCCGAGGTCCTGAGGCCGTGACGAAGCCCAAACTGGTGGGGGTCGGAAGCTTGCAACGCTCAAGATGGTTCATGATTTGATGATTGATAACACTCTCCATGATTTTAGAGATTATGCTCAGCAGTGAAACTGGGTGATAATTCATCAAGGCGGGTCGTGAAGATCGCTTGTGGATGGGAACCACCCTGGCAGTCTTCCACATTCGTGGCTGGACTCCGTGCTGGAAGCAAAGAGCATTATGGTGTTTGCACTGAGTGCGCAGCTTGCTGATTTAATTGCGCCAAACCTAATTAGTGAATGAAGCTTGGAAAACGCCCTGGCATTGTGCTATCAAATTGAGCTATCTCCCGGTGTTGTTTTCTGACATTAATGCATACTTCTTTCTCTTGTTCTTGATGGATTTCAATGCATTACCCATACTTCACAGCATATATGCGTTGCCCCAGTGATATCAAAGTAAAGAATGGAGTTGTTACTGTTAACAGTAATTACACTGATGGAACTGCAACCGTTACATGTAACCAAGGCTACCGACCACCAAATGCTTTACCAATGAAGTGCAAGGAACACAATGTGACGCACAACGTGTGGACCAATATACTTACCTGCAACCGTAAGTTAAAACGAATGAGTGTTCATGTGTTGAGGACAGTAGATGTTTTCTTATGCGGACCTCCCATGTCCAGTCTGCTACCTCGACAAAAAAAAACATGCAAGCGGCATTGACAGCCCGTGACACTGCAGTCAAGATCCTGTGTAAAGATTCCCATCATTGGAGAGCATGCATGGTCAAGATCCCGTGTAAATATTCCCGTCATTGGAGAGCATGCATGGTCAAGATCCGGTGAAAATATTCCCATCATTGGAGAGCATGGGACGGTGGGTGTCTGCACACAGCTCTGTCCATGGGAATTGAGCATTGTTTGAGCAGTGAAAGTTGCCTACTGTGTACTTTCTGAGTGGCGGGAAAGAAAAATTAACTGCAGCCAGAAAAGAGCGCTTGCGTCAAATTTCCCTGAGCTGCTTATCTTTCATTCATTTGTTACTCTCTGTGTGTATTGATGGCGATCAATCACTTGGCCACTAAGTACTGGATGGTGTATGTGCATTGCCCAAATATCCATGGCCAGATTGGGATTGTTAGTCTCCTCAAAATTGACACTGATGACACTACTTATTTCCCTCCCAACTAAGAAATCAAGCCTGGACTCGTAGCTAGCTAGACAGCGATAGAGCTCCACAAAGCACCAACACTATCCTCAATCAACCCCCGGCAGCAAGAAATTATCAAGCAGTGAGATTCGCCTATGCTAGAATGTTTCACAAAAAGGACATACAACTGTTCATGAAAGAATCAGATAAGGTCGATCACTCACGCAAGGCGAGATCTTGGACTTGGCCTCCTTTGGAATGTGCATATAGCGTAGGCACACATCACTCTGCCACCTGCTGGCAGAACGATGCAGGGAACAAAATATCCCTGCCATGGCGGCGGTAGTAACCGATCCAATGCGAAATGAGTGTCCCGAGTAAAGTTCAGTGTTCGGCCCTTTCAAGCTGCAAGCGTATAATACTTGTTTAGGACTCTTTCCCTTTCGGTGAAGACTGTATTAAATTCTAATTGTTCGAACTCTGGTGTAGTGAACTGACACTCGGAAAACAACATGCAGACATGGAACACAACTAAAAATGCAGAGAATGAAACCCGGAAAACGCAAAGGCAAACAACAACCACAACTGTCACTAATCTGGGCAAGAAGCTAACCACCATTCTCTCAAACTTGACAAACTCTCTCTCTCAAATCGCTGTCCTCAGCGAAACGTGCCCGCGTGCGTGCATTGGCTTGCGCCGCATGCATGTACACAACGACGTGGCATAGAGAGAAAATGCAGCGTACAGAAAATGCATGAATCATCGTAGCCATAGAGATACTAATTATGGCGACTGCCAAAGTCCGCATGCACGTGCAGCGCGGAGTGCAGGTGCAACAAAAAAGAAAAGCAATAATAATTTGAATGCAGAACAAAACAGAAACTAGCAATCTGCTGAAGTGGAAGACTAAAGCCTGAATTGTTATTACGGAGGTGAAAACAGTGTCTGTCAAGGGGTGCTTGCACCCAGCGACAGGGTGACAGCACACCCTGTCAGCGAGAGTAAGTTTCGCCAAGTAGATCGTAGCGGAGTTGCCGCGATTGGCGATAATGCAACGGATCAAGTACTAGTAAGTACATGTACATTGCAACCAAATTAGTGTGTCAACAATTCTACTTATAATAAATTAGCACGATTCACAAGATCTTCCGCTCGTGAACATGTCGTGGTACGAACACGCATAGCAATTACTGTATCGTAAAAATTAATGTGTCTCGACGTAGACGTAACAGATATGCACTCGTTGTGTAACAGATCTAACAGACTAACAAATATATATTACACTCGCGAAATGCATAGCAGTAATACGCACCGCACCAATATTGCAAGCGACCTAGCATGTCTTGACAATACTGCCCTTGCAGCATGTGACAGTTCTGTACACAATTCGTAACTACAATACACTAATAGTGTCAACGTGCAACATGTGATATGTGATAGTTCTGTACATCACCACCCTCCCTCACGAACAGTGATTGAGTGAGGCAATAGAGATAACATAACTTACTCAGAATCGACCTCTTGCGGAACGAGCTCATACGAACACAGCATACTCAGAATCCACGTCTTGCAGAACGAGCACAATACTAACACTAACACAGCATACTCAGAATCCACCTCTTGCGGAACGAGCTCATACAAACACAGCATACTCAGAATCCACCTCTTGCAGAACGAGCACAGTACTGGTGGCTTACTCAGAATCCACCTCCAGTGGGACAAGCACATTGATTGGTCGGCGGTAGGTCTTGCCGCGGACGAGAATGTCGACCACCCGTACGTTGCCATCTTTGCCTGGGTACACTTGCAGTATTCTTGCGAGCGGCCACTTCCCTCTTGGAGTGCCAGGTTCCAAGAATAGCACTACTTCACCAACACGTACATTGCGGTGCAGATTGCGCCATCGTTGACGCAGGTTGAGCGCTGGGACGAGCTCCTTCAGCCACCTGTCCCAGACGTCCTTACTCAGTCGCTGAACTGCTTTCCAGCGATGTCTTGGATTCACGCGATCAGCTTGATCAGCCAGTTCCTCAAGTGCCAGCGACAGGTCGGCATGGCTGGTGAGGAAATGCTGTGGCGTGAGTGGGGTGAGGTCACTCGGATCTGAGCTTATCGTCGTGAGCGGCCTGGTGTTGAGGAATGCTTCCACAACTATGAACGCCGTACTCAGCTCCTCGTCTGTGCAGTCTCCGTGCTCCAGGATTCCACGCAACGCACGCTTGGCGCACTTCACCATCGACTCAAACACGCCCCCATGATGGGGCGCCTGTGGGGGGTTGAAACGCCACTCGATGTGCTCCGATGCGAGTGCAGCGCTCACTCTGCCGGAATTCAGCTGCTCGACTGCATCCCGCAACTCCTTTTCCGCAGCTACGAAATTTGTGCCGTTGTCCGACACAATCAGAGCCGGTCGACCGCGTCGCTTCACAAATCTACTCAGAGCCAGCAGGAAACCATCAGTGTCGAGGGAGTATGCCATCTCCAGGTGCACTGCTCTTGACTGGAGGCAGGTGAAGACGCACAGATAGCGCTTGGTCTTGACCCTGCCACGACCTTGCTTCGTCAGGAATGGCCCTGCGAAATCCACGCCCGCTCGGTGAAACGCACGTACAGGTTCTGCTGTTCTGAAGCTTGGCAACGGTGCCATCAACTGCTCAGCTGGCTTGGCCCACTGTAACTTGCAGCCAGGGCAGGAACGTCGGTGAGCCTTGACAGCGCCGAGACCACCAACCACCCAGAACTCGCCGTTGAGGTTTGCCAGTAAGTGGTTCCTTCCAGCCACATGCTTGCACTTCACATCCTCATGCGCAATACGTAGAGCCGTAACAGGGTGCTTGCCTGGCAGGATGATGGGTCGCCGGGCTCCACTGGGCAAATTATGAGCGGTTTTCAGGCGCCCGTTCATGCGGAGAAGCCCTGGCTTCGCGTCTCCATCCCACTCTGGCATCAGATGGCTAAGTGCATGCGCCTTGGGCAATGGTTGACCGCTGCGCTGGGCCTTGATGACATCACTGTAAGAGTCCTGCTGAGCGTTGGCAAACCAGTGGAATTCAGCATTGCGAACTTCGCTCACTGAGAGCTCGGGCACTTCTACTGCTGGCAGGGCGTGCCTTCGCTTCAAGGCCTTGCGAGTCGGACGGCTGCCATCGCGTGCGACACTGATGCTGGATGTAGCGCTGGATGACTGCTGCGCTGTAGGGTCTGCTGGCTGAGCCTGGCGGTGTCGGCAGTTGTCCGCAAAACGTTTGCACCATGCGGTGACCCGCACAAGTCGTAGCCAGCTGCTAAAGTTGACCGGGTTGAGTCGGCTAGTTTGCTGCTCGTCCTCTGCTGGTACCGTGACTAGTGTGGCCTCAATCATCCGCTTCAACTGGCCAGGTAATTCGGCTGTCGGAACAGAGTCTGGAAGCTTGGGCCAGTCATCCTCTGGTGCGCTGGAGAGGAAAGCAGGACCGTTCCACCACAACGTGTCGTTGGCCAAGTCCTCTGCTAGTAGGCCACGCGTCGCTTTGTCAGCTGGGTTATTCTTGCCGCTGATGTGGTGCCACTGCTTGACGCTGGTCACTTCCTGGATGAGTGATACTCTGTTGCCGATGTCAACCTTGTACCGCCTGCTGTGGTTGCGGATCCAGCCAAGCACATTCATTGAGTCTGTCCAGAATGTGTGCTGGCTAATAGGTATCCCGATGGCTTGCTCCAGGTGCTGGCTCACGCGGATACCGAGTACCGCACCACGTAGCTCAAGTTGAGGGATGCTCTGTCGACGAACTGGAGCTGGCTTTGCCTTGGCCATTGCCAGAGTTACTCTGACGTTGCCGGTAGTGTCCACTTCACGCACGTATGCTGACGCGGCAATAGCTCGATCAGATGCGTCAACAAAGGTGTGAACCGACAGCTGGCTCTCTGGTGCACCTGGTGCCTTGAAGCTGCGTGGAGCCTGAACTCCTGAGAGACCTGGCAGCTCACCGAACCAGGCTTGCCATTTCTTCGTCTCTGTGCTAGGGAGTCGCTCATCCCAGCCAACACCGAGTAGACACAAGTCCTGGAAAAGGATGCGTGCCCGGATAGTGAATGGCGCGATCTGGCCTCTCGGGTCGAACACAGTCGACAGCCCGCTCAGCACTGAACGCTTCGTTGGGCTCTGCTTGGTCTGCTGGTAGCGGAAGGTGAACGTGTCGGACTGTGCATGCCAGCTGACGCCGAGTGTCTTCACTGTTGGTAGGCAGCTGTGAGCATCTCGCTCACCCAAGTTTAACACCGCTTCCTTGGCACGGTCGGCCTCTGGGATGGACTCCATGACGGCTGCACTGTTCGATAACCACTTCCGCAAGTGGAACCCACCCTGCGCTAGGAGACACTGCGTTTGCTGCTGGGGGTTGCACTCAGCTTCGTCGGATGCAGCCGAGCTCAGCAGGTCGTCCACATACGTGGACTTGTCGATGGCTTCCACCGCTGCTGCA